AGCAGTATTATTACATCTCAAAATGGCTCCTTTCTGATGATGGATTGCACCAACAGATCAGCACAGTTAGCTGCCACCTTAAGGATTTCTCTTTAACACGTCAGAGCCAGATACAGCTAAATTACTCAACAACATGCCATATCCGAGCTAGAAATCCAGGTCCAGTAACAGACTGTGCATTTATAGTCAACCAGGATGATACGCATAGGAACCTCCTTTCCTGGCACTAAGCACAAATGTAACATTTGCATCATATCTTATCACTAATGCTGGCAAAGTAAATTCATAACCTTGGTGTAATTTCTACAGCACAGGGTGAGTGGTCAGATAATACAGCAGGAGACACTGGGCAGTAGGATCCTGGCCTCCACTTTAGGATCTACCACCAACTTGTTACACGGCTGTGGGCAAGTTTCTTCAGCCAAAGTTTTCTAAGATGTCCAGTGATTTTAGATGTCCAGCTAGAGTGACCTTAAGCCTGTTTGCAGAGTTGCAGAGCTCTTCCAGTTCCTACCAGCCTAAATTGGGGGGTTTTTTTCTTCTTCTTCCAAGATTGAGGAGCATTGTAACTGATATACTGGCATTTATTGTCAACTTAAAAATAGCCTGGCACTGAGACAGAGGGGCTGATACATGTCCTCCATTTGGTTAGCTTTCAGAAAAAGAGAGGTCAGCAATTTAACATGGCCAAGATCAGTTAACTTCTCTATAATGGGGTTCAGGAATGGGCAACAGCTAACACCTGGTTCCAGTCATTAACAAGCATTACAGTACTGGCAGACAGGTTTGCTTGGGCATGAGGACATGACTTAAATGCTTGATTTTGCCCTGTGAAGGCAAAGGGCAAATAAGAAGGTCACTTCAGGCTCTTTTCCACAATAGAAAGGAAAGACTTGCTCAAAACACCATATTTGTTAGATGGTGGATTAAGTGGATTAGATAATGAAGTTTAGCTCCTTATTATGTCTGGGCTTAGCTGGAACCTCTTTTATTCCATCATCTCCTCCGATTACAATAACCAAACATGACTACTGTTCCTAAAGGATCTGTGGGTTTCTTTCTGAACATTTTTCACAGCTGTTCTGTTTTTTTCTGTGCTAGTATCTGATTGTGGTAAAAAAAAAAAGAAATAAAATGTCAAAGCAGAATTAAATCCCACTATGAACTAATACCACATGAAAAGTGATTGCCATCTTTGGATCTGACCCGAGTTTATAGACGTTCAGATTCTTGGGGTTTGAGGTATAGGATTGAAAAAAAAAATAGGTGAAAAAGCAAAGGGTCAGCTGAGAGAGAAAACAAAAATGCTTATGATTATGTGTGGCCTAAGAAAAATGCAAAACCCACAGTTTTCCTTCCCTTTACATAACTGTCTAATGCAGGATGAAAATAAGAGCTTATATGAGACTTTCACTCCTTTTGGATTCCTTGGCAGCTTCTAGCTGTGGACTCACGCACACTTTCTCAAAGCTGGTATTAGTGTAAAAGCAAGCTGATGTAAAACTATATTCATGGAAAAAATAGATACAGAGAAAAAGATGCTACAACTCCACCTAGTGGATAAAAGCCAGAGGAGCACCACGCACGCCAACTGAGTTTTTCACCGTGACATTTCCAAGCAATCGATACCTCATTATTAACTGTAATCACAAGCCTGCATTTTTGTGGAAACGTACCACAAAAAGGGGACACATGGCTCACTGGGCATTCTGGTGAGAGGGTCCTAAAAGCCAAAATAATTGTTAGTCGTGACCTTCCTACGCCAAAACCCAAGGTAGGAAAGATTGATTGTGTATCCTCTTCTTCCAAGACCACCCTCCCCCCCCCCCCCAAAAAAAAGAAAATCTTTAAAGCTTTGGATAAAGCTACTGACCTTTTGCTAACTGCTGGAAGGTAAAGGCTTGATAAATAATAAATAGCTCACCCCAGGCTTGTGCTTAGAACCTTTTAATTAAAATAGTCAAGTTACTCTCTAAGGTCACAGTGATTGACATTTGTGTCCAAGCACAGCAAAAACATCTATCAAGTGTTGAGCTTAAAAATAAATTAAAAAAATGGAGCTCTGCCCTCAATTGCATTTCCTCCTAATTGCACAAAATGCTTAACTTCATGTCTTTTACTAATGGACGCACCCCGGATTCCCCATTACCTACCAGCCGTAACAAATCCTCGGTGCCAAAGAACAGTACTAACCGCTTGTCTGTCTAGAGCTGCTCAGCTGGAAGCTTCCTCAATATTGAGGTCAGCCAACAAACCTCTACAGATTCCAAAGGATATTTCTACCCTGGTAGCTACCTAAAAGTAATTTCCCCATCTATGTTGCACAAGGGCTAATAACCTCCCTCATCAGCAGGGAGACCTGACCCCTGCCAGCTCATTTAACATGTGCGTTCACTTAAATATTTCTAATCTTTCCAGTTAATTGGGCTATATTACCCACTTCAGAATAATAGTATGAATGCACTCCACCAAATTATACAGCTGCAGACCTATTGCTACATTATACTGGAATATGGCACAGCGTCAAATATAACTATAATCACAGGTCTGACAGCCAAATGACACTGTTACCATACAAATCAACTCCCTCTCAACCTTCCACACCACAGCACTTTAGTGTATAAGCCAGACTAAGTTTGGTTACATGCAGCAGTGATAAACCAGCGCAGCCTCAGCGGCCCTCACTTGTTTCTGGTCATCACAATGGACGGGTAATGCCAAATTGTTACATAGCCATTATTCAGCTATGCATTCCCCATGTAGAATGTGGCTATAAGCAGAGGGAAGGAGAAGGGGGGGAATTCATTCGCTAGCTAGGACTATCATCTTAACACAGATGGTAGACTTCAAAATTGCCCTCCTTTGTAAGATCACTGACGAACGAGCAGGCCAGGAAGGTGTGGAGACAACACTGTATTGCAGGAGATGTGCATCTGCTGGCCCCTCTCCTTGAAGCCAGCTGGACTACACTGGCAAGGATGGGCCTTGGGTGAATAGCTTACATAAAGAGCCTGTCAATACTAATGGCACAGGCAGCTTGCCATGCATCTTTTCTCCTAGCTACCAAATCCTCTATACAACCCTACGCACACATTTGCTGCAGAAGGCTCTTTCCTGCCCTGCTGTGTCTTGGAGTTGGTGAGTGCATCTACCCTTTCTCATAATTTTGTCCCCAGATTAAAATTTGAATGTCACAAGCTAATTTCTATTTTCCATCACTCACCTTGTCCTTGCTTACAAATATTAACATTTTTCCTCCCAGTGGCCTAGCACCTAGGCACGTTCCCAGCAGTTGCAGCCATGAAAGTACTAGCACAGGTAAGTAACAGGAATGTTTGCAGTCATGCCATCTGTGATAGGTGATCAACATGGACCTAGGAGATGGCACAGAGTGCACCCTCAGCAAGTCTGCAGATGACACCAAGCTGGGGTGAGGGGAGAAGGGGGAGTAGTAGATATGCTGGAGGGCAGGGCTAGAATTCAGAGAGACCTTTACAAGTCGGAGGATTAGACCAAAAGAAATCTCATGAGGTCTAATAAGGACAAGTGCAAACGCCTGCGCTTAGGACAGAACAATCCCATGCACCAGTACAGACTAGAGATTGACTGGCTAGGCAGCAGCTCTCCAGAAAGGGACCTGAGGGGTGCAGCGGACACTCAGTTGAATGAGCCAACGGCATGCCCTGGTTGCCAAAAAGGCTAACGGACATACTAGGTTGCATTGGTAGTATTGTCAGCAGATCAAGGGAAGTGATTATTCCCCTCTATTCAGCACTGGTGAGACCACATATGGAGTAGCGTGTTGTGCTTTGGGCCCCCCATTACAGAAAGGATCTGGACAACTTGGAGAATCCAGCAGAGGGCAACAAAAACGGTTAGGGTACTGGGGGATAAGACCTCTGAGGAGAGGCTCAGGAAACCGGGCTTGTTTGGTCTGGAGAAGAGACGACTGAGAGGGGATTTAATAGTAGCCTTCAACTCCCTGCAGAGCAGTTCCAAAGAGGATAGAGCTGGACTGTTCTCTGTGGTGGCAGACGACAGAAAAAGAAGCAACAGTCTCAAGTTGCAGCAAGCAAAATTTAGGTTGGATATTAGGAAAAACTCTCTCAACAAGGGTGGTGAAGCACTGGAACGGGTTACCTAGAGAGGTTGGGGACTTTCCATCCTTGGAGGTTTTTAAGACCCAGTTAGACAAAGTCTTGGCTGGAATGATCTAGCTGGGGATGGTCCTGCTTGGACTAGATAACCCCCTGACAACCTTCCAACCCTCATTTTCTATGATTCTGAGTCCTGCAAATTACTAGTGTATTGATACAACTCCACTATGGTTCCAAAACAAGAGACCTAAAAGAATCAATACTCCAAAAGCACGTTGGGTTATCCCATTTGCTGCTTGCATCTTGTGTTTCCAAACTGTATGTTGTTATAACAAGGGGAAAAGAGTGTTATGCACCAGTAACTGAAGAACTGAAATGCAGAAAGTATGAATGGGGAAGATGGCAGGAAGCCTAGATATGAAACCAATGAAAGTTTCCATTTTCTGGGAGGAGTGGGAGTTACCTGATGACTAAGTTTTGACTTTGAACTAGAAGAAGCAGTTTTGATTTAATCAGAAAAAAAATATCCCAAATTGTAATGAGATAAATGTTGTTCTTCTATCAAAACATTTTTCTAAATTCAACTGGTAATTGCTTGGGAAGCTGAGAAGTACAGTTCTGATCACCATGACGGAGCCTTCCCAAAACCGACCAGGCATTCTACTGCCTCTTCTGCAGACTATTTTGCAAAAAAAAAAGCACTCACCTCTGCCCTCCGCAAACCTTGCAAGACCTTAGCCTCTCACTTCAGAGAGGGCCACCAACTGCCATCGAGAGCTGTAGCAAGGTTAACTCACAATCATCAATTTGTCAGGAATAGTTATGGTTTAGCAGATGATAAAAGGTGGAATGGGAGAAAGTGTGTTGTCTGTTTAAACAGTACTTGGGACTAAAAAATCAGTATGATGGTTTGAAGTCATTTTATACAAGTTTTAGGACATGTGAGTACAGCATACACCACTTCAATATGTACAAAAAAAGAAAGGGAAATTCAACCGAGAGTCGCAGAGCCATCCAGTCTGCCCAGTGTGAGAAAGAAAGTTACCCCTATACAAACAAAAAAGCAATATTCCTAAAGAGTGAATATAATCCAAAATTTAATAGTCTAATCCACTGTAATCTCCAACGTATTTTCCACTTCAGGATACAAGAAAGCCCTGAACCTTTGAGGACAAACTCCATTTTAAAGGCAGGAGGGGAGGGAGATGAACGCTGAAGTTAGCATCTCACACAGGTTCATGCAAGGCAACACGATTCAACAACTGAACTATGCTTCATTCACGTAAGCATCTTACAGTCAGATGGTTCATGTGGACCATCATTGTTCTACCAGACCATAGGTGGGTAACACCTTGTTACATTATGTCCCAGGGCAACTGAGCTGAGAAACAAAACTGCTAGGATGGTAAAGGATTTTCCTTCTGCCCTTCTGTGGATTCCAGCTGCTGCTCTTCATGAACTTGCTCCTTCAACATGTTTGGCAGCGTCATTGTGAATGCCGTTTCAGCAGGTATTACCTACAGTTTAGAGGCAGATGATCACCAGGAAAAACAAAGACAGAGATTTTATTGAAAAGTGGAATCAAAAGCAATAGTCCCAACGTGTGCCCCACAAGACCCATGCAAGAAATACAGTTTTAAAGCTCTGACTATAATCTGAGTTCAAGGTCAAGGCATGGGGAGACTATCAAGCAGAAAACATAAGTGAAATGGGGTTGCCACAGGTCTGGACAAATCTGACTTTGATCTCATGGTTCCACTTTTTCCTCAGCCATCAACAGATTTTCATCAGATGCTGCCCTCTATCCAAAACCTCATCCATCCTTCTACTCAAGATCCTTTTCAGAGGAGAAAGGTTGCTGGTGATCAGTGCTGGGCCATTAGAACAATCAAGGGAATGGAAAGTCTATCAAAGGAGAGGAAACTAAGAGTCTGTCTACACTGCACAATATGCTGCCACATTGAGATACTCTAGCTATCTTGAATGCTTCAAGGAATATAGCCGTGTTAGCGTTGGGCTCTGTCCAGGCTAACCAACCTTGCTTTGTTCCCTATGTTCAAGCTAGTTCAGATACCTCTATGCAGCACTGTATTGTAGAATACAAAACGCACCTTTAGTCGAGCAAAGGGAAGGGAATATGAATGTTCTCTATAAATATATTAGAGGCAAACAGCAGGGAAGGAGAAGAGCTAGAAGCTAAAGAACAAAAGTTGGCACAAGAACAAATGGGTATGAACGCTGGCCATTAATACATCTGGGCTGGAAATTACAAGGTTTCTAACCATCAGAGCAGCGACACTTTGGAACAGCTTTCCAATCACAGTAGCAGGAACAAAAAATCCTATTGGGTTTTAAACCAGTGAAGCGCCACTCTATAAAAGGGATTATCCGACACAGCTGTCCATGACAGCAGTAGATTCAAATCTGTGACCCAGGAGGTCTCTCCAATCCTATGTTCCTATATGCAATTAGCAGAATAAAATTCAGCAGATGATGATAAGCACATTCAGTGAGCACGAGGTATTCTTGTGAATGCTACTTATGTGCCTCCCGAACTGTATACAAGTCACTCGCTTCAAACACTAGGACCAAGATTAAAGAATAAATGCATATTAACTAGCAGGGATGCAATCATGTTAGTTAACTACTGTAGGACACCTGGAGAAATATGCTCAGATATTAGAAAGAGAGAAGTTACGTCCCCATGTTATGACACTGTATGTACATACATACAGACTGATGGAATATCCTCTATTAGTTTTGAAATGCACCATTTGTGAAAGCTGCTGGCCTCCTGACACTAGAAAGTAAAGTCCCCTAATTCAAAGCAAGCAAGGTTGACCTGGAAGCAAAAGTTTCTGTATCACTGACCTATTAACCTACTGAGTATTTTTTTTTTTTAATTTTAATAATAAATGCTTACATTCACAGCTGTTTTTCTCCGCAGAATCATTCCCTTTGCTAAAAGCAACTTTCCCGTTTCCTCAAACAGATTTTCCTCCTTAATTTCCCCTTCTTTCTTCAATTCATTGTATTCCTCCACAAACCTAGAATTCAAGATACCGATTATTTACTAACAGCCGTAAAAAGATAAATATTTTTATAACTGGGAAAGAACCGCTCCGAGTTAATTCTAACTTAAGCACAACAACAGGTCTTACCTCTGGCAACAGGATTTAAAGTTTGTTTGTTGGAGCTGAAAGGGTCTCGAACCGCTCCCATAAACTTCGTAAAATTTCCTATTCGATAAAATAAACAGTTTCAATGTTTCATTTCTTTGTATACGGGCGATATATTCTGGCAGAGAAGTTAATGAATAGACAGAGCCAAGGCACAGCTAAGTTAGGATAAAACAAAGATCAACACCCTCCAACTGCTTCTCTTCCCAGTCGCTGTCCTTTAGATGTGTTTTTTAATTCAAGCATCCCAACGGGCTAATTAAGCCTTACTATGCACTGGTGGGACGCCAAAACAGCACCGTTTCTTTGGTGGGTTGAGCCAAGCTGAGAAAAGCAAAATGAGTTTGTAAGTTGCCAAAAAATAGGTAAGAACCAGCAGCAGGAACAGCACTCGCACGCGCCCGCAAGCAAGGCCCCGCGGATGCCCAGGCGCAAAGGAAACGTCGTTCAACGGAAAGGTGCCGCGGCGGCGGAGGGGAAAGACGAGCACAGAAGCAACAGCGTCGGGGCCGGTACTGGCACGCGCCCCCGGAAACGCAGTCGCAACCCAGCAGCGACGCAAAATAAATAAATAAAATAAAATTTTAAAAGGCGGTTTTGTCTCCCCCCC